GAGACGCTGTCAAAAGCTTTACTAAAGTCCATGACAGCGTCTCAATATGGTTAAATTGTTTTAGAAAATGGCAAATTGTCACAGATTCAAGTGGAAATGAGGATTAGCTGGGGGCTAATCTGAAGCCTACAGGCTTCAGACTTTGGAAAGTATGGAAATGACTATAGGAACGTGATATATCTTTGCTCAGCATAAGGTTTCTTGTATGTAAAGAATGGATGCCCACTTGTGTACTAATTAAGGTTATTTATCTCATTCTTTTAAAGGAAAGTATCAACATCAGTCTAGATCAAAGAAGCCGGATCTTCCAAAACCTAAATGGAGCATTAGGTGAGATGGAAGAAGGAAGCTCATTTCTCCTTGGAATACAACTGCATGCTGACACCAGAAATAAAGTTGTGTTGTGGCTGAAGGGATTAAGTTTCAGAAATTCCTGTCCCTGCAGAATAAGCCTCACTAAACAGCCTCTGCCAGAGTTCTGGGATTTATTTGCAATTCCACTGCGACCAACTAGGTTCTCATTGCAGTCCCCTCTTCACTTGAGGGAATGCAGGTCAGGTTTTCCATTTTACACCTCCTTGCCACTTTGATCTCCAAGCATGTCGGATTGCATTAGCCTTGGGGCTTGAAACTGGGAGGGACTTCAGTGCAAGTAATAACACATAACCCTGCCTAGGGCTTGCCTGTCTTTCCGCTGCAGAACTGTGTGTGGAATGCCACAGAAGGTGAGATGCAGCCAGAAACTGCCTGTGAGCACTCACTAACGGTACCAGGCTTCTGACCTGACCTGCTCATTGATTGATTTTGCTAGTCCTGGCAAAAGTGATTCACTTACTTTCCTGACACTAATGTCTAATGTTTTCAGTTTATACTCTTGCACCACTCCATCTTTATTCCGGTCAGGTAAAAAATGATAACAACGATGTATTTTTTTGGCTCCTGTGCTCATTATAACAGTGATAGACTGGAGCTTGGATCTGTACTCGTCTGTTTTCAAAAGGATTTTGTGTGATTGTGTTGGGGAGACATCTTGGGTGTTCTCTGCCAGTAGGATGGACTTTTGTCTGGGATGAAAAAGAGATAGCAGGTGCATAGAATGCTTAGGTGCAAAGGGCCTGAGTCCTCCCTGGCCACGACTGTTCCTCACAGCACAGTTGTTGGTGCCAGTTTTGAAAGACTGTTTCAGTGTGGCTCCTGCCAGTTCCCAGTAGAAGGTGTATTTGTCAGCCCAGCAAGCTGTACTCTTTGTCCAACTTCCCAGCCGTCCTCCTGTTACCTCACAGGATCATTCTGAACATTTTTTCTCCTTTCTGGATGTTGTCTGTAGCCCTTAAACTACTTGTGCATGGTTATCCACTTCCATGCTTTCATCTTTCAGCAGTTGCTCAGTAGAAATGAGGCATTGTGCTGCTAATTATTAATAAAAGCCTTCCTCTGATAACATGGCAATGTCATTTCCAGATGAGGTAGTTATGAAGTTTGAAAACTCACGAGTGAGAGCAAGAAACTTGTTATATGACACTCTGCCTGTGGTGATTCATGGAAATGGACCCACCAAGGTAAGTGGGAATCCTGAGGGAAAGATTTGACATGTATTTGTTGCAAAGTGACACTTTAGGCTTGAGTGTATCAGGTTACTGTCTTCCTATATGCTGACTTTCCCTGTGTACATTTACATTTGAGAAATAGTAAGTGGTCCAGGTCCATAGCAGCAAGATGAGTCTGGTTCAACGATCAGTATGTAATTAGACCCTCAGGCTGTCATGCTTTTTAGATTCTTTAGTCCAAGAAGAAGGTAAATGAAGTTCTGATGAAACATGATCTTACACTGGGGGTGGATGCCAAGAAACTCCCCTGCCTTATAGTGTGCAACATGGCAAATTGCTTTTTGCAGCTGCAGTTGAACTACCTGGGAAACTATATTCCTCAAATATGGACATTTGAGACTGGCTGCACTGTGTGTGATGAGGGTCTGCGAAGCCTCACGGGGTTTAAGGTAAGGCTGATGTCTATTCAAAGCTCTCAAAACAAGTCTTACAATTACAGTGGGGTCTTATGTGTCTGATGTGGTAGCTGAGCCACCACTTCTCTCCTCTTCTCACTGAATGTAGGATGAGGCATTGCCATTGATTCTGATTGGCATTTTCATCGAGCAGCCCACCCCATTCCTCTCCCAGTTTTTCTTGCGGCTTCGTAACCTTCATTACCCAAAGCAACGAATTCAGCTCTTCATTCATAACCATGTAAGTAAAGTTGGCCTG